ATTAGACACAAAACCTTTCTAAAGAAATTGTTTGCATAATATTTTTGATGAAATAATAGATGATGGTGATAAAATCAAAGGCTCGATACGGGCGCGAAGAGATGTGATCTCTTTGCGTATTTATCGCATACACGGAGTGCTGGAATTGATACGTGGCACTCCCATCCATACCATCCACACCATCTGGATGCTTGGCGGTCCACCACTGTACGTTTCAAAAGTTCTGCCGCGTACAACCTCTTTGTGGAATCATTTACCACCTATCGACGATAACCTGGGGACCTTCAAGAAACTTATCCGAAAACACCCAAAAAAAAATGCTATGTTATAAGTCCTGAGGACTAAGATAAGAGAGTCTCCGATTCTCTAAACTCACTATACGCAACAAATCAGCATTAATCTGCTATTTTAAATTGGTATTCTGTAAGAGCGTGGTTTTTGCCCTGTCGATTCAAACCTTTCGTGCAGCATCTATAATATAGCTGTAGCGTGGCCCTACCACTTTAAGAAAACTGTATTAAAATCCATCCAGTAATTTAAGCGAATACACAGACTGGCTCAAACAAGCGTCTGGTTTATACTATTAAATAGTTGTATATAAATAGCAATTGTATTGTATGGTACAGTTGCTTTTCTCTTGTTAATTTAAGTATAATTTAATTGGTTTTAAGTAAGAACACGTTTGTGTAGATTTTTGCCTCGTCGGGAGTTGTTTACAACTTAGCGACTTTCATTTTGCTGCGTTAAGTAGTAAATCGTGTTATTTTTGGCAAGTTAAGTATTTCAAGTATGACTACCCTTAGGCCGGTCTACTGTGGTTTGTGGTGTCTTTGACTGCGCGTAATATATCAGATACGTAATTTGATTATAAACACATTCCATTGACAATCTTTATTGGAAACGAGACATTTAGTCTTCAGGGGTGAGATCGCATCAGTATTTTGATTCGTAGTCGAGGATGGATGTGTTTACAATCAGATCGAGTATTTACAATCAGATGCACGGTGTGCTCGTTCAATATAAAAGCACCTGCGACTCTTTTAGTATCTGACTGATAGTATATATATATATATATAGTATCATCACAGTTCGTGATCAATACGTGTTGTTTGAATTATGGTGAAATCTAATTATATTTAAAAAATATACATGTGCAGTTTACATGTGATAGAAGTGCGTTCACCTTCAGAAAAACACTATAGTAGGTGAAGGTTATTTTAAAAGAAAGAAGTAAGAAAGATGTGTTTATGAGTGTTTGTCGAAAGATTAAGAATATTAAAGTATAATATAAAAAAGTCAAGTATAATATGTGAGGTACGTATGGTCATCCGGTTAATATCGTCAATTTCTTATAATTCAAAAACGACAGCCATGTTTACATTTTGCGGTATGGCTTTGTGATACGATAGCTCGTATTTACTCAATCAATTAATAAAGGGTCAAAAGGGCGCTGCTTTATGGACACCAATTTGACAGTTGACATGACATTATAGTTAATGTTTTAGTCGATTTTAGTATTGTGTAGTGTAGTTAGTTTTTTTAAGTAGATTTTTCGAAGTTTTCATAATTATTGCCAGAGCTTATTTACTACTTTTTTCATAATATATTAGTTATAGTATACGACTTTGTGTTTTTGTCTCTGTCCTCCTCCTAGTTTTGGTTTTATAGGACGGAAAAGCTTAAGGTGACCATATTACCCTCACGTACCTTATACTGTATTCTATCTCATTCTCTCACAGGCTAAATCCAATAGATGTATATGTTTGTCTCTTTTAGTGTCGCTTTCTCGTTTCATCGAATTTCAAATTATAGCGATTCTAAAGAAGTTTTCACTTTAACAAATTACCCTCTTCTAGGAATTTCTCCTGTATTATGGAGGCGTTTTACATACATAAACTGCACACGGGCTAACATCTACAATGATGTAGAAATTTACATTAATGACTTTGCAGAGCCTCTGAATGAATACTGTGTCATGTTCGCGGACGATATTTCTATTCTTATATCAAGCCAAAGTCCAATGAATCTAACAGATAAAAATTAACAACATATTATTAAGAACAACGGATTGGCTAACATAACCTGCGGATAAACTTATCGAAAACTAAAATAATGTCGTTTCACCCATACCAAAAACCAAAATTAGATACACTTCGATTATATAAAAATAGATAATGACGGCTTCACTATAGATACAATTAACGAGCAAACACTACTAGGCCTAATAATAGATACCCATATTACTTGGAAACCGCATATAGAAAAATTACATAGGAAGTTAAGCAGCTTTATGTACGCGTTACAAGAAGTAAAAAACAACAGATATAACCACCGCGATAACAACCTACTACGCGTATGCATATGCATGGCTCAGCTACGGCATTGCCCTATGGGGATGCAGTACTGAGGCCTCAAGTTTATTAACTAAACAAAAAAAAATAATACGAATCATAGCTAATATACAAAACACAGAAAGCTGTAAGTCTTACTTTAAGAAGTATAACATTTGCTGCACTGTATCTATATTTTGGAACTATGCAAGTTTGTCAAAAAAATTCCAAGCTTCTACACAAAACGAGATGACATCATATCTAGGAATCTAAGACAGAGAAACAAACTAGTGCTACCAACTTCAAAACTAAAATCTCATTCCTCCAGCACATTTGCCATGTCTATAAAAGTATATAATAAATTACCCGAATATATAAAAACATTAAAAACGAAAAACCATTTCTAAAAAAATTAAAGCAACTACTTATAAACAAGTGTTACTATAGTACTTCTGAATTTTTAGAAGATAAAAATATAATATAATATAGATATGTAAATATAAATATGTTAGGTAATAATGAAATGCCATCCTACTAAATATATTACAATAATTTTTTTAATAAAATTTAAAATGAATCAAATAATTTAATAAAAATTCAACTGTACTAATTATACTACCTATCTTTAATAACAAATTAAATATCAAAATCAATTAATAAGTAATAACAATTATAATAGCCGTATTCCAAATTCATTGTGTGTATGTTTATATAATATGATGTTAACATTAAATAATTATTTAGCAATAATAATAATAAAACAAAATAAATGTTCCTCCTTCATAATATTGCTGTGCCCATGAGGGTCTATAGAGATACCAGAAAACTATGTAACACCTTTTGTAACCCATGGAATGCAATAAAGTTATTGAGTATTGAGTATTGAGCATCTAGACAATGTCTTGTAATCTATTCCACTAGTTTTGTGCGGGAATTGAACTCACGGCTCATGCCACCGCAGCTAAATACCTATCGCCATAATCACTCCTGGACTATCGAGTTAAAAATAAATCGTTCGAATTTCAAATCCCCCCTAACGGTTTTGAAAACTCTTTGGCATGTTTTAAGCGTTTCTTGTAGGGTAGGTAGGTTAGAACTTATTCCTACATCATTATCAATATATATCTCATTTTTCCTCTCGAAAGGTGTGCCATAAATGTTCAGAAAAAACATATGCGAATGATGGCGTTAAGAATGAAAAATTAAAAATAATATATGGGTTGTTGACAGCGACTTAAAAATTTCTATGTAACTATGGGGTCAAACGATTATCCATCCACAAATAAGATAAGTGGTCGATACAGAACAAGGAGTACCGCAAACTTTAAAAAACTTCTATATATGTGCAGTATCTAAGAAGTAATATAAAATGCCTTATATTTTTATTTTCTTATTTTTATAGGATAGGGTGACAAACGAGCACACAGTCCACCTGATGGTAAGTGGTTGCTGTGGCCCATAGACATCTACGTCTATCCTCGATTACGAATCAAAATTCAGATGCGTTGTCACCCGTGAGGACTAAGATGAAATGCCTCGTTTCCAGTTAAAAGGTTCTCCGGTTCTCTAAACTCACCATACGAAACATATCAGTATTAAGTTACTATTTTACGCTGGTAATCTGTGAGAGCGTGATCCTTCCCCGTTCGAAACGACCCATTCGTGCTACAACTATACTACTAGTATAAAAAGCGGTCTAGATGCAACCCGAAAGGTGATGTAATAGTGTAATAGTCTCCCACGAACTAGAGAAAATGAGGGGCATATTGGAAGAGGCGATGCTGGAAACGCGCAATACGCCTCTCGAAACTCGTAAACTCCCAAGCAAGCGAAATCAGCTCTCGTGCGAGCTCTTAAACCAATGGTGGTGACCTATTTGGAAGCCAACCGGGACTCTTGACACTTGCGCACTGACAGTTTTCCGTATTATTGGCGCCAAGCTTCCCATGGCTGGACGCGCTACTAGACAAAGTAACGCCATCCCAGCCTGGAGAAAAAGAATCGAGGACCGTGTCGCAAAGGCAAGGGCCCTTATTGGCAGACTGACAATACAATAATAGACCGAAGGTTGTGCGTAACGTTAGAATGATGTTTGCTGGGACAAATATCAGTTTGTCCCGACTAACTTCCCAGTGGAAAAAAATAAAAAAAATATCAGATGTTTTAATATATTATAAAAATTTTCATTCGGCACAAAAAACGATTTTGCTTAAAATTTAATGAGGTCTAAGTTACATAATTATGCGTTAAATGAAACTGGTCCCATGTCAATATCACTCTTTATTCTCGAGATACACGAGGCGAAAATTGAATCCGAACATACATACATACATATGTACATGTGCACACACGGACATCCTGTTAAAAAACATACGATTCGACTCTTAAGACCTTGAAACGTGGAGATATGTTAAAATTTCCAATTTGCAAAATCGGACCCATTACAATAACTTCCCACCGGGAAGTTAATAATCAATATAAATGTTATTTGTACATTGCTGACCCTAAAAATTCTATCATCAAGTCGCTTCGGAGGTCATTCCTCCTTCTTTTAATGGCCCGTTATACCACAATCTGTCGAAAGTTCTGAAATCTTCGTGGCATTTTTCATAATGGCATTTTTTAAATGTTTTTTCTGATTGTATATACAATTTTTTTTTAGGTGTGGGCATGTTGAAGCACGTGGCGGTGTCGCCGCACCGAGCGCGCGCCGACTCCGTCAGCCTATCTTCATCGGCTTCCTGTTGCAGCCTCGGCAGCCTAGAGCACCGACACGACTCCGTCGCCGACCTCTCGCATCGCACGGTAAGTTATAATATCTATTTAAAAAAAAACATATTAAACACAAGTTGCAATACAGATCCAAAAATCATACATGCGATCTCGAGGCGGATCGCTGGTTATTATATATTTAATTATACAAAATTAATTTCTGTTTGTTCGTATTTTATGCGCTGCTGCCTGCGTATTTTATACGTTTATTACATTGCGGTTAAACTTTGTCAACCTATTACTTGCACTTGCGCGAAGGCTATTAGTACTATTAACTTACAGTAGATGGCGCGCGTATCGTATCGACAAAATTATAGATCATTCAATTTCAATAAGTGTGTTACCATTCGTAACTAAACAATATAACTTCCAAATTTAAAACGATATTTCCACAATATTTTTTTCTGTGGTAGCAACGCGCCGGGTTACAGCTATGTATTATAAGTTATCTATAATTATTATGTGACAAAGTACTGCAACTTGATAGAGTTGATCACGCTGAATTGTCAGTTTCTCAGTGCTGCGACCTGAGCTTGTTAATTGCTACTGACCTTAGTTTTTATCTCAGTATGAAATTACAGTAAACAAAGCATGAATCTTTCATAGAACTATAATCTTCATATCACGCCATCAACGGTTATAAAGTCGTCATTAAACGAGATAAGCGTAATTACGTGTGATCTTGTTGGGTTGTCTGTGCGCGATTGTGTCCTGTAGATCTATAGATAGTGCTAAATGTCTCTGACTAGAGTTGAGAAAGAAGTTGTTTTCACAAATAGAGAGTTAGTAGATGAAAGTAAATGTAGTCTTTATTATTATCTGTATTTGTATTTTATTTATTCTTAATTTTGGAAATTTATCGACCAAATTGGCGATTTATTTTGAAGATAGGTCAAATTAAGAGTACCCGTAATAGTCGAGCATATAAGCATATGTTTATGGATGTAAGGGAGGCCAGAGAGGTGTGTCAAGATCTTCCAAAATTGAAGTCCGTGAGTGAAGGATGGGGAAGGATGGCCGTGTAGGTGGTGTAAGAATATCTACCACACCTCATCGCCTTCTGGGTGTCGAAAGAGGCGAGGGAATCTCTTGAGGGAGATTGGCAGCACCATATTCCTGATAACAACTTGAAGTTATAAAACCTCCGGTGGCCAACCCGCCTACCAAGCGCGAAAACTATGGCGAAATTCCAATTCCAATACGTGTTGGCGGACGGTACACCTTCGAAATTATTTTTAAACGCTTGCTTTTATTTCGCAATGATTTCCTTCACCGCTGAGCACGTGGTAAATCGGCACATAAAATTGCAACTAACAATTTCTTAGATGCCGGCGAGGTAATGTGAAATGTACTGAAAGCGCTTAGGCTCTAAGCTTGTGGGTTAATTTGTCTTTAAAATATTTGAAACTTCGTAGATTTGCAGGTGTATTAACGACGATGAATTACTACATCATTAACGCGTGATAACTGTATATCAAAAGTTTGCTGCTGAACATAGGTCCCCGCATAGATTTCCTCGTGGGGATATTTGACATATTTCCACGCTTGACAAGTAAGTTGTCAAACGCAGTGTTTTATCTTTTTGTTGTTATCAAGAGTACGCTGCTCCCCATCTCCTGGTTTGCTTCCTTCTGTTAACTCTTGCGACATCCACGAGATGATAAGGGTCAGTGGATATTTTAACACCGCCACTACGCGGTATAACTGTAGTAAATTCTGTAACTGGTAGATTTGAACCCACGACATTAAGTTTCGCTTATTCCTCCTTCAAGCACCAGTGATCCACAACTAATCTTGTTTAATAGCTATTAAGTTAATGCTAACCCTTAATATCTTTCTAAATGGCGTCATTTCTTATATGTTGCAACCATTGCGGCTTGTGTTTAGCCCAGGAGAAATAATTTACTTAAATTCGTGTTTTCTTTAAATATATGGGTTTAATGTTTTGGTTTATACAATAAACTAGAATAAACATGTTTTCTCATCTATATTTATATTTTATTATAACATTAGTGCTGAAAGAGAAGTATAATAGTAATTAAAGTATTTTTTTGATAAACAAAACGGCGGAAAATGGCGGGAATTGAATCGCCGCAATAGATGACGGTTACTGACAATAGATATTTGAAACATAGCCGGGATAGATGTTTTGACTGTTGAGCGGTTAAGTCATTTATATGGTTTTGTAGAAAAATAAATAAATTAAAAAACTAACTTTAAATATTTAAAGTTAAAATTAATTTACATAATATAAATTCATTTTAATATTAATTTATATAATATATGATATTATAAATTAAAATTAATTTTTTCAGTGTGTAGTGTTCGCGTAAATTTAAGAATTCATAAAAGAAATAAATTTTCAATTTTTAATTTGAAGTATAATCTATAATGAAAATCAGGCTTTAATCTGATATTTAAATACATAATATGTATCATAATACAGATTATATTATGTATATTTGGTTCATAATGGCTTTTAGTAAATAAATGCACTATGGTTACCAACCATTTTATGGGTTCTCACTGAAATGTGCCAATGACTACCGAAATTGGTTTATCGCATGAAAAAGTTGCTCGGATGAGCCCGCATATTGCGTGAGACTCGCAGTATCAGAATGAACCGTAATTTTCTGCGTTATTGTGATGAAAGTCATTATGTCCCATATGCGTTTTCACTTTTGCTATCAACTTAATGAGCTATTTCCACAATTTTTCATTAAACTTCTACGTGGGAATAAATATCAACGGATACAAACATATTAGAGAAAGTTAAAATTAATCTGTTCAATGCTCAACTGCTATTGAATCGAGGATAGATTGTATATCTTGGGCCACAGCATCCACTTTCCATCAGAAGGGCTGTGTGTTCGATTGTCACATGGTTGTGTAAATATATAGATATTGCTTATAAAGGCACTGATTTTTAAAGCTGCTGTAAATATGGTTTCATAAGGTATAGACTTGGTAGAGTCATGCTGTAAATATATTATAGTTGTAATCCGCAAGGGTGAAAACGCATTTCAATTTTGATCTTTAATCGACGTTAAAAGTAGATAATTATAATTTAAATATGTTTTGATTAAACTGTGGGCCACAGCATTCACTTACCATCAAGTGGAACGTGTGCTCGTTTGTCACCACTATTCTTTAAAAAAACCGCTCTACTGAGATATTGCGAGGGGAGGGCTACCGTAAATACTTGAACTTGTTTACTTAAACATGGGTTCACAGGAAGTGTATTTCACATAAAGGGGCTCCTTATCGAAGTATACAATTATTGACATTGTCCTTATCACTTCGAGAATGGAAATTCGGTAATTTTAACTGCTTAAAGGTTACTTTATCAACCGTGACCTCGTAAGTGCGTTGACAGGGGATTCGGAAAACGTACGCAAGGTATCATTGACGTTGATGTCTGTGGATTTAGAATTTGATACTATAGGAAGAAGGATCCTTTTCAATTGTGATAACATCTAAATGAATCGCAGTTTTGACCTGCAATTTTAAACAGTTTTTTAATGATAAAAATGGTTAGTGCTATTTTAGTGTAAGACTATCTATTCCCCACGACTTTGCCCGCGCGGAATTTATTACGATTCGCTTTCACGGGTTTATTTTTTTATGCGTGAAAGCCTAGTTAGTTAGTTAGTAGAAAGCGAAGTATTGAGTTGTGGTGCTGAGGGCCGCGGGTTCGAATCCCCATGGAACAAATATATGTATAGCCTACAAATAATTGTTCCTACACCTCTCCATGGTATGGGACAAAATCCTAGTGTGGGTAAAATTTGTAAAAACACTAAAAAGCCCCCATAACTAGTTTACCATAGGTGAGATTTTGCTGTATCACTCTTGTTGACAGTATTTAGTTCAAATGTGTTCTGTTTTATTCATACTCAGTGGTACTGTTGCCGCTTACAGTACCCACTTCCGTAGACAGAGAAACCTATAGACTAATGATTAGCGTGGCCTCGAGTGAGAAAGGACGATAACGTAGTTTTAGGTTATACAATAATCTTTATGACTTTTAAACATATTTAGATAAAAATTTTAATTGTTCTAGGAACTGAACTGGACAAGATTCACCAATCTTAAGCTCACAAAACACTTTTTTCTCACTTAAATCAACTTGTAAACTCCTTAGATCGCTACGAACTGTCAAAGTTGTTTAGCAAAGTGTAGTTTGCTAAACAAAAAAACCGGCACGGAGAAAGGGACAAACAATCACACCGCTCTGTCTCTTTTCTATGCAAGAATTATGCATAAATCTATCTTTTTCATGTGCGAATGCGAAAGAAGGCGTCAATTTGTCTATAGATTTCTCTGCCTACGACTCACTTCACTGGTTCTCTGCGACACAGTTTCGGTATTAGCGTCCTTATGGAATCATCTCGATGTCAGTCTATTTAAAAAATTAAGAGGATTTTTTGTCGGAGAAATTAAGAATTCTCTTAGTACAGTAATTTTGAGTTGTTAACTGGTCGTTACTTAAATGATAATAAACTGCCACCATATGTGACAGCTACGGAAAAATTCTAATGACGCCAAAATCCAAAATACTTATGACTTTTTATATAGAATAACAGCGACGAACGAGCTGTGGCTGATATACATCTTCATTGCTCCTCGATTAAGAATCAAAATGCAGATGCGTTGTCACCCCTGAGGACTAAGATGGAATGACTCGTTTCCAGTAAAAAGGATCTCCGGTTCTCTACACTCACCATACGAAACACAGCAGCATTAAGATGCTAATTCACGCTGGTATTCTGTGAGAGCGTGGTCCTTCCCCGGTCGAGCTGACCCGTTCGTGCTACAACTATACTACTTATGTTATATAAGCATGACTCTACCACGTATAAAAGTAGCTTGATTCTTAAGATCGTGCTTTGTGGCATTCCTTGGGGGAGGCCCATGGAGGGAGGTCAGTGGACTTGTGATGGGCTGTAACGATGATGATAATACTTGTACTGCTGTGTTCTGGTTTGAAGGGTATAAAGGGCCAGTGGAAATACAGGCTGTGAGGCATTCCA